ACACACACACACACACACACACACACACACACACACACACACACACACACAGAGGCTTTCCGGTCAGAGCAGACTGGTCCTGCCCCCTAGTGGCCACCTCTATAATTCTCCGATAGAGGGAAAAGAGAGTTTTGTTTTTGTCTAATCCTCACTTAGGTTTCAGCCAAGACTTGAGAGGCAGAGCAGAGGCTAGAATATTAAGTACCCAAGATTAGCTGTTGCCCTGTATGGAGTCTGGGCTTTTCCCTATGTTCTGGGAAAAGTTACAGCCCTTTAGTTTTTGGTTAGCTCTCTTTAGGATAGTCAAGCGACTAAAAGCTAATTCTGGCTCCTCCCCCAACCAAACCTACTCAGGTTTGTCCCATTGTCCATCCTTGTGGCCCCAGCTTGGGTTATAGACTCTCTTCAAGTTTGTAGATGTGAAACCCAACAGCCATTTCTCACCAGTGAATGGAGAGGCCTAAGAGAGGAGCTGCCTACCCCTCCTCCCCTCAGAAGACCCAAACTTCAGAAATGTAATTAGTGGAATGGGTAAACCAACATGCTCATCCCACTGGAGACTTTCTTATACATTCCTCCGTCGATATTTGGCCCACAATTGGCCACCTTGTTAATCCACTCCAGTTTTATCGGGTTCCTACTCTATCCAGCACCGTGCTAGGTTTGAGGATAACTGGGAACAAGGCAGACATAGTTCCTACCCTTTTGTGTGGGACTTACAGTCTCGTAAAGAAGGCACCAGTGAATTCATAAACGAAGAGGAAGATATCTTGAGAGTGACAAACTCTAGAGAGAAGACAGTTGTGATGTGATGGGCGGCATTTTGTCACTGGAGTCATCCACAGAGTGGCAGAGGAGCTAGCCACACCAAGAGTGTGTGGTTAAAACATTCCTGGGAATGCCAAGGGCAAATGTAAAGGCTTGGCTAGGAATGGGTTTAGCAGGCTGGGAGAAAGAAGGTGTCAGTGGATAAACTCCCAGGAGTTGGGCAACAGAACAAAAAGCCACCTGGATTTTCTTAACTCTGAAACTGGCCAGTTATGAATTTGAAGAAGGGTCTGCATTCGGTTGAGTTTCAATTTTTATGTTTGTGTGTGCAAACTAATCCAGCAGGCTGTTGAGTCTACAGAGGAGGCATTTGGCAAACAGGAGTAACAAACTATTTCCCACCCACCTCCCTCCCTCTCATGCTGGGTTAGCCTCCCTCATCATTAAGGATCTGCAATCAGCCTGCTTTCTAGATGACCCCTAAGGGTGAGGAGACCGCCCTTGGGGTTCTAAGCCTTTTCTGTTCCATCTCCGCACCTCCCCGCTTGCTGCGGGTTCTGGTGCTCTGGGAGCCTCGGTAGTCTCGAGAGTGGTGGGGGAAGATTGAGAGGCCGCTTCTACCTAGGACAGTTGGCCCCTTCCTTGGCACTTGTATTCTTAAAATCCATGCAAACTCTGCACTTCTGGGTGCTTTCCTGTGTTTAGTGCCGCCTGGTGGCGAGGCCTGGTCTCGACCTCAGAGCCTGAGAAGACTCGTTGGGAAGCCCTGCTCAGGAAGAAAAGGGTGGCAGCGGACAGACTTTCCAACGAAAGGAGGCCTGAAAGGCTTGGCGCAGTGTCGTTAGAGAAAGATCTTCTCTTCCTCCTCCCTAGTGTCTCCCAAATGAAAGATCTTCACCTAGAGAGTTTTGACTTTGGGGAGAATTGTGGTGGGCCAGGCTCACGTGGTCTTAGGAAAGGCTGAACCTTAGGCTTAGGGTCACGCCTGAGGGTCTGTGCTGGGGAGTGCTTGTTCTGCCCCTAGGCGAGGAGACTCTACCAGGCTTAGGCTACATTGAAAGAAAGCGCAGAGTCAGCCTGGGCTCCGGCAGACACGCGATGTGCACCTCAGCACTTTCCGTTGTCATCCATGCGGGCTGGGACCAGATCGGTGACTCCGCTGCCTATGCAGACCAGAGCTGACCAAAGCCTGCCAGCTGACTCAGCTCGCACACCCCACCCGGATTCCACAGGAGGAGGCAGCCAGACACGACTATAAAGCGGCGACCACCAGGCTCGCGCGCAGCCTCTCCGTTTTCCGTAGGTGAGGTGCTCACTCACTCGGTGAGTACTAGGGGGGAGAGAGGGAGTAACAAGGGATTCTCCCCTCAGCCGTCCTCAAACATCAGCAGCACCCTGTGTCCAGAGCCAGGCCGGTTCCAGCCCCTAGATTCCTCACACCCTACTGGGGATGGGCAGACTTAGGCTAAGTAGGGGGTTCCCGAGAATTTAGCCGACGATCCTGCCCTCCTTTTCTGCAGCGACATGAGCAGCGCCCCCGCGCCAGGCCCGGCGCCCGCTTGCCTCACGCTCTGGGATGAGGAGGACTTCCAGGGTCGTCGCTGCCGGCTACTGAGCGACTGTGCCAATGTCTGTGAGCGGGGAGCCCTGCGCAGGGTGCGCTCAGTCAAGGTGGAAAACGGCGCGTGAGTGATCCTGCTGTGGCTCATGAGCTAATTTGGGGGTTTCCCGGCTTCTCTCCCTCCCACCTTAGCCAAAGTCAGAGCCCGGACTTCAAGCTACACTCCAGTACGCCATAGACAGAATCATTAAGGAGAGAAGTCTTTGTCCTCTCCAATACTCCCAACCCTCCCCAAGACAAAAGCAAGAAACAATCAAGGGGCCGCCCTGAAACCTCAACGTTTTCTTTGTGCAAAATCAGGCGGCTTTGTGGAGATAGATCGTTTCTGGCGTGCCCATCTGGGTATCCTAGAAGCCAGCTTGGGGTCCTGAGGATAGCTGAGGCTCCTTTACTGCTATAGCAGGGTGGAGACCGGTCGGTTGCCTGCGTATACAGTTACAGAAAACCCAGAAGAACGTCCTTGGTCCGGTGATCTTTGTAACCTGAAACATTCCTTCTAACTGCGGACCATAAATGAAGCCTAGGCCTTTCTAACTTCAGAGACACCGGGTTTGGGGCTTTCAGTTTCTAGAGGAGCCGGGTGTATCTGGTCTAGCGTTGGAGAAATAGTTTGGGTCCCTGGATCTTTTTAACCGAGGTGGTAATGGAGGGGAGGGAGATGCCTCCCAGTTCCTCTTCTCTTTTTTCAGATGGGTGGCCTTCGAGTATCCCGACTTCCAGGGACAGCAGTTCATTCTAGAGAAGGGAGATTATCCTTGCTGGAGTGCCTGGAGCGGCAGCAGCGGCCACCACAGCAACCAATTGCTGTCCTTCAGGCCAGTGCTCTGTGCGGTGAGCACAGCCCACTTCCCCCCATCTCCTGCTGCCTAGCTCCAGGCCCCAACCAAAGTATGGTGCTTTGAAATACCTACTGTCCCCCCGGATGTATGAATAAACTCTTGGGTGGGTGGTAGTGGCATTACTCCAGAACCAAAAATGTCTGAAAACTGGGATTGTGGACATAGCTCTGGATCAGCACCACGGACAGCACAAAAGCCCAACGGGTTCTGAGAACGCTGGCGCCCTTCTGTTTCAATCCACCACAGGTGTAAGGCGCCTAAGCTATAAGATGTCACGCTGCTGTTGACCCCACGCACAGTCTTAGGAAATGCAGTTCAGAGACATAATGTGACTTACCAGGGTCAAACGTGCGTGTTCGTGTGCGTGTGTGTGTGTGTGTGTGTGTATGTATGTCCCAGAAAGGAGGTACTCATTCTACATTCGTTCTCGGGTATTGATGAGACCTGGGGCTTGTGGTGAAGGACACCGGTCCTTCAGAGGACCCGGCCCCAGTCCATTTTCTCTGTTCCAAGAGACCGTGAGAGACCATAACCCCTCAGGAGGAAGGCCCTTGTGTTAGGCCAGATGCAACCAAACTGCCACACCCGCCTGTTCTGACTGCACCCCTTAGCTGAGTCCTGATCTGTGGGAGACACCGATGGGGAGCTGAGCAAGGGGTTGGGTTGGGGAATCAATGAGACCCTTAGAGAAATGTCCTGGTTAATAGGCTAGACCTTTTTTTTTTCCCCTCAGAACTCATGATTTCCTCCTAAAAATAGGCTGTATTTTAAAAGGTTAAAAAGATAATGGTACATGCCTATATTTCCATCTACTTTGGAGGCTGAGGGAAAAGGATCGCAAATTGAAGGCTAGCCTAGCATACTCAGGTTCCTTGGTTTGATCCCCATTACCACAAACAAAACAAAGAGACCACTACAACAAAAAGGTTCCTGTCACAAGAGTCCCTTTAGCATTGACCTCAAAGAATCTCCAGGAAGTCTCTAGTCTTCACACCTACTGCAGTGACTTGGTAGGATCCAGGTAGGATCTTTGAGCATGGCAGCTGGCTAGACTCACTAGGAACTGATGGAGCAAACTCCTGAGGCGGCATGACATGTGCTGAGCAGGAAGTGGGTGGCTAAGGTAAGACTATCTGGGAACACCGTTTTGGGGGGCCTGATATATCTATAAACCACCCCCACCTGTTTCTGCGTCTCAGAACCACAGTGACAGCCGTGTGACACTGTTTGAAGGGGAAAACTTCCAGGGCTGCAAGTTTGAACTCAATGATGACTACCCATCACTGCCTTCCATGGGCTGGACCAGCAAAGATGTGGGTTCCCTCAAAGTCAGCTCTGGAGCGTGAGTCCTGGGGCTGGAACAGAGGAGATGTGAAGAGTGGGAAGTCCATGAGAACAAAAGAGAAGATGGGGGAGGTGATGGAGAATGCTAGGGGCTAACAGAGAATCTAGGAGATGAGAGGCAGAGGGAGTAAGAGGCTAGAAAGAGAAGAGGCACTATAGACCAGGAGCCAGGGGAGTGTGGAGTGAGGAAATGAAAGGTATATGTAGAAACCAGGCCAAGACATCACAGGAAGTCACAGAGCAAAAGGCAGAAGAGCTGAAACAATGTTTTTGGAGTTGCCTACTCCCTACCCTTTTCTTTGCTGTCCTAGGTGGGTGGCCTACCAGTACCCTGGCTACCGAGGCTACCAGTATGTCTTAGAACGAGACCGGCACAGTGGGGAGTTTCGTACCTACAGTGACTTTGGCACACAGGCCCACACTGGACAGCTGCAGTCTATTCGAAGAGTCCAGCATTAGGCTCCACATTCCCGGTCGTCACCAGAAAGATTCTCAATAAAAACTCCGGAATCTACCTGCCTCTCTTGCCTCTTTCTTGCTCTCTCTCTCTCTCTCTCTCTCTCTCTCTCTCTCTCTCTCTCTCTCTTTCTCTCTCTCTCTCTCTCTCTCTCTCTCTCTCTGTACATGTGTGTTGGAATCTAGAACTTTGTGCATTCGAGCTAAGTAATCTCCATTCTTAACACTTCTGAGGATTGTTCCCTCCAACCAAGGACTCTCATAAGGCCCCAGAACCTTTACCTAACTTAGACAAGCATGGATATACTCTTGGGAACAGGTAAGGAGAGCTGTGGGATCCAATAACATGGAGCCAGTTCCTCATCTCGCCCTGGGACAGACCCATCAATATAGGTCTAAGCACCAAAACCCAGATGGTACCTTTGCCATTTTCTAGATAGATCAACAATCCTACCCTAGAGTAGGGTCCACAGCTGAATTTCAGCCACCACACACTCCCTGGACCAGAAATCACCATGTAGGATGGAATATCATCAGCTGTATACAAAAGCTCTGCTTGGTCCTACAACTCTCCTCCCCACCCACACACACACCACCCAGGCCATCTTCAGTTTGCATCTTCACCCTGGCTTCCAGACAGCCAGGGAAAACTGCTAGTGTCTTTCAGTAGTTCCCTTTCTTTCACTCCCTTGAAAAGAATTAGTGGAGGTCCTACTCTCCACTTCTACCGAAGAGGCATCATCTCTTTGAGCAAGCCCCCAGACTATAATAGCAATCACTTGTATCTCCTATGATATTAAACTTCCACATCTCCATGTAAACAGAAGCTATTGGTTTTCTCTCTCTCTCTCTCTCTCTCTCTCTCTCTCTCTCTCTCTCTCTCTCTCTGTGTGTGTGTGTGTGTGTGTGTGTAGGGGTTGAGTATTTAATAAGAACCCCCTGAGAATGTGGGATGTTACAGGAAAGCATTAAGTAGCAGATACAAGGCCCTCCACCTGCCCTGGCAGGAATCTAAGAGTCCAGGATCTGCACTCTCAGTGGGTATGAATTTTTCGTAAATTCTAAATGGACTCTAGAGTCCATGGCTTCTGTTATATTTGATCCTCCAACTATCCTCCATTCTTCATCTGTCTCATTAGCAAAGAAATTGGGGCTTAAAGGGGTCACCAATCTAATCAGTGACTATGCCAGGGTTTGAAGATAGGGCCCCAAATTCCTAACCCAGGTTCAGTTAAGGCTAATTTGAGCTGTGATTAAAATTTTCACTGTTCAGCAGAGCCTGCAATATATGTGGGGCTCCTGGCTGGTCCGTCTCTTGCTATCAAAAGCTAAACGCAAAACTTAGTCCTTAAGCACTTACCATGTGCCATCTTATTAAAGGCTCACAATATGCAAATGTTTAAACATTCAGTTTTAAGACAACAAGACTAAGTACAAAGGTGATTTAACTTCCTTAAAGTCACATAAATAGGAAATAGACAAGACTCCAGGTCCCAGAGCTGAATCCACAACCCAGGTCAACCTGCTATCTCTTCACTACCTGTTGCCATAAAGAGGTGGTGAGCAGTAGAGTGCTGGTATCTTCTCTTGGACGAGTGGTCCTCTGGAAAATATCAAGAGGTTACCTTTTGGGGCCAGGTGTGGTGGCACTCAGGAGGCAAAGGCAGGGAGATCTCTGTAAGTTCAAGGCCAGCCTGGTCTACAAAGTGAGATCTGGAATAGCCAGGGCTACAGAGAAACCCTGTCTCAAAAAAAAAAAAACATAAAATAAAAAAGGAGAAAGAGGAGGAGGAGGAAAAGGTGGAGGAAGAGGAGGAGGAGGAGGAGGAGGAGGAGGAGGAAAAGAAACATCTTTTAGAATCTGTTAGAAGGACTCTAAATAGTTTGCTGGTCTTGAGTTTGTTTGCTCCAGCTTTTGCTAGCTTCTCAGGTTTTCTGGGACCCAGGGGTCTCATTCTGCTTTCCACGTCTGTCATCCTCTGGCAGCTTCTAAGTACAGATTGAAGTAGTCATGATTGAGAGTATTAACCTCTGATTCTCCTATTCTGGGCAGGTGGATGGTCTGTGGACTCAGGATCAACCATGACACACATCTTGGCAGTGAGACAATGGAGTGGGAACTACCAAGGACTCTCTCACTGGCCTTTAAACTGCCATCAGGAAGGGAAGGAGGAAGTGGAGTGGGGAGACTCCCCGCCACACACACACAGAACAGACACACACGCAGAGAACAGACACATACACACAGACATACACACACACACACACAGACACGCACACATACACACACACACACCACACATATATATGAGAGAGAGCTAGTGGTGGGACCACAAGAGTGGGAGTGAGGCAGAGCCTGCTCACTACTCTTTTCTTTGCTATCCTAGGTAGGTGGCCTACCAGCCCTAGCTACCAGTATGTCTTAGAACGATATATATACACATATATTGGCTAGTGCCTTGCTCCTTTCCTTCAGCACCCAAGATCCCTGACAGACTGAGCTGAGCTGGTGATACTTGCCCAACATGCAGCTCGTGTCTCTGGGTAGAGACTCCCTCTGAACTCTTCTCCCTTCTGTCTCGGCTTCCAGCTGAGAGTATTAATGGGTGGATCTCTGTGCCTCCCAGCTCCCCCCATTCTCACCCTCTGGCTGTTTCCTTCCATCAGCAGTATTTGAAAGGAGCACTAAGAGAACATGGAAGGAGGACTGAGATCTTGGCAGCACACTAAGGCTCCTTTCTATGGTGTCCTAAGCTTGTTCCCCTAAAACATTCCACCCTCTCTGCCTTTGCTCACATCAGACTCCACATCTGCATCCAAATCTCCATCCCAATTTCCATAGGATTCTGTTGACGACCTCTCATCCTACTCATCTCCTCCTTGGTACCTTTGACTGGCAAAGATGAACTCTTGCCATGATTTACAGCCAGTGGGGGTTGCACAGGAACCCTGGAGAACCCGTGTAGGATATTTGCGGCAGCCCCTCATATAAGCACATCCTAGGAACAAGGACCCTGCAGGAGGTCTGCCCATTTCCAGCTTCCCCTCACCCCTTTATTTAAGCAAGAGAGAGGAGATTCCAGAGAAGAGCAGGTCTAACAGCAGCTACCCCGTCCTATGACATGTCACATGGTTGCAGAAAAGGCACTCCTGATGCAGGGGTCAGTCTCAGATCTAGGAAGTTTCACAGGTACCCAGATACTCTGGTTTACTTGGAAGCCACATCATGAATTAGGGAGGGCACTTGTACAAGACACAACCCTACTGTGATCCCTGGTAACCCTGCAGTGTGATTCAGTCATAAGGAGCATGGGAGTGTGTGTGAGGATGGGGAAGGATGGTAGAGAAATGGCGGTGAGAAGTGGGGAAATGAATAGGAACCTACAAGAAAAACGCAGCTTGTATTCAGCACATATTGGTTTCGAGACTGGCAACCAGTTTATAAGAACTGAATAGATTTTTAAAACAAAGTAAAATAAGGAGGAGAGGAAGAGAGGAGACCAGACGAGAAAACAAGAGGCACAAAGCAGGAAGGAGACCTAGAAAGAAGGTGAGGAGAATAAAGAAGAGAGCTACTCAGAAGTTGCCAGGAGAGATACCCCAGTGCCCTGCCTGAGGCCCGGGCCAGACAAGACAGGAAACCAGGAGATCGAGGAGAGGATCGGGTCTCTAGGGACCTACAGAGAGTAGGAAAAAAGGAGGGAGAAGGCACCGGGGTGGGCAAAGATAAAGGGAGCCACGGCAGCGCGGCAGCGCGGCTGGGAGCGCAGCGACAGGCGAGAGGGAGGGAAGCGGAAATTTAAAAGTGAAGATGCAGATAAGGCAGCCTGGAGACGGGGACCCGGGTAGGGGGAGGAAAGGGGCGGAGAGTAAGCAGTGAGAGAGGGGAGGGAGATGGTTAGATAGAGGGCTCTGGGGAAGGGACTTGAGGCTGTGGCCTCAGAGATCCAAAGTGGGGCCAGCATTCCCGCCCCACCGATGTTTGCCGAGAGTCGGGGAGGTAGAAAAAGACACACACACTCCTGGCCCCGTCTGAGCTCCGAACTGGAGCCCATCCCCCGCGTGTCTCCTGGGCTGCGGGGCGCGGGGGGCTGCCGGGTGCGCTTGGCTGAGGCGCAGCGTGTTGGAGACTTTATTGCGATGGGAAGATAAGAGGGGCGGGGGCGGGGTCTGGGGGGCCGAGGCGGCCGCACTTTAATTAAAACGGAAATTGCGGCCCCTGCCCGCGTGGGGCCGGAGGGTTGCAGGCGGCCTTGTAGCTGGGAGCAACGCTCCAGGACCCCCTCCCTCCCCGCCACACCCTGGCTGCCCGCTCCCGCCAGGCCTTGCCGGACCCGGCGGCATCTACTCTTCCCTGTCACCCACAGTCGCCACGGGCGGGGATCGGCACCCCAAGCGCAAAGCTGACGTGCCCTCCCCGTGCCGCCCCCCATCTCCCACCGCCCAGTCCCCGACAGCGATGAGACAGAGCGGCACCTCCCAGCCCCTGCTGATCAACATGTACCTGCCAGGTACCAGGGACCAGCCGGGGGCTGGAGGCACCAAGACCCTGGGCGGGAAGTCTAGGTCAGGGCATGGGGCAAATTCAGTGGACAAAAGAAAGGGGACGCTTCCAGTGACTCGCTTTTGTGGGTGTGTGAGAGGGACTGCTGGTTGCAGTTTGGGGCATTCGGGGAACCTGCCAGGTAGACAGCGAGCTTCAGGGTTTCGGTGTGGGTCTAGAAGACACGCAGATTCAACATCCTAGGAGCTGAAAGCAGGGGTCTTTGGCGTAGTGGACTCCTGGCTCCAGCCTTGCCCCAAGGCTGTGTTCCGCTGGGCGTCGCCCCTGAGCCCTCAAGGGTTCTCACCTTCGTCCTCCAAGCGTTTTCACCGGCCGAGACTTCCAAGCATCCCTTTCCTCTTTACAAGGGACTCCGCTCGCTCAGACTCGGGCTAGCGCGATCCCCTCTGGGTTTTATAAGGCTCCAGCCGGCCCCTTCGGAAAGCGGATTTCCTTTTTCCTGGACGCGTTTCCTGACTTGGGCGCTACAGAGGGGCTCTGCGCCGGCTCGCGTCGCAGCC